CCACCGGCATGGCCTGCACCCAGAGCTCCAGGGTCCTGAGGCTGGGAGACTCCGGCCAGGCCACAAGGCGTATGCCCAAGCTGCAGGAGGACCAGGAGGAAGGAGTGAGCCAAAGTGCTCCGCCAAGGGCAGCAGAGCCATGGGTCACCCCAAAGTGGTGACAGCTGAGGGTGAGGGTCCACAGGCTGAGTCCTGGGGAGGAGAAACAGGCCGGGGCATACAGTGGGTGTTCCTCAGGCATGGCCTGCGGTCTCTTGGGGTAGAAGGTGCTTGTTGGTCCTGGCATCAGCTGGACTCTAAAGCTGCCAGGGACGGGTCAGCAGCAACAGTGCCATGTGGCTGCTAGGGTGAGGGCAGTGGGTGTGCACAGCCGGCAGCTGGGGCAGGAGGAGAACCAGATGGGGACTGGCAGGTCCCAAAGGGTCCCTTCTTGCCTCCGGCCCCCTGCAGGCCCTTTCTGGGGTGCCTGGTCCCACACCGCTCCTGGGCCTGTACACTCAGGCCGGGCTCTGCATGGTGTTCCTCCGCTGGCGCTCCCCAGCCCCACCCACCGCCCTGCCCCAGCCACCCTGCTCTGGGCCAGGGCTCACCCTCACCTCTCCGTGCCCAGGCTAACGGGCAGCGAGCCCCTGACCATCCTCCCTCTGAGCCTGGAACCCGAGGCGGCTGCCCAGGCGCACTACAAAGCGTGCGACCGGCTGAAGCTGGAGCGGAAGCAACGGCGCATGTGCCGCCGGGACCCGGGCGTGGCCGAGACGCTGGTGGAGGCGGTGAGCATGAGTGCGCTCGAGTGCCAGTACCAGTTCCGCTTCGAGCGCTGGAACTGCACGCTGGAGGGCCGCTACCGCGCCAGCCTGCTGAAGCGAGGTGAGTGCCTGCCGCCTCGGACTGGGGCTGGGGAGGGCGGCGTGTGCCCTCCCTCCGACCCTGCCCCTCTCTGTGCACTGGCCTGGCCTCCGCAGGGCCCCAGGCTGCCCATGAGGCTATCAGTGAACACCAGGTGGTCAGGGTCTTGCAGCCTCCACCCCAGAACAGACCCTGTCGTTGCCTGGGTCCTTCTGCGCCAGGGGCTGCCTGGGGCCCTGGCTCTCCTGAGGGCCTCTCCACAGGGTCGCGGGGAGGCCAGTGGGTCAGACGCGCGGGTGGGCCTCGGATTCCCACCCCACTCCTGGGCTGGCTCCCGTGCAGGCGCAGCTCCCCACGCTCCGCGACCCCTATCAGGGCCCGGGTGCTCCCAGCAGCACCAGCGCTTGGGGGAGACTGTGGTCTGGCTGCCGCGCACGTCGTGGAAGCTCTCGGGTGGGCCGTGGCCCAGTGCCTGGCTGTGCTGACCCCCGTGCTGACCCCAGGCTTCAAGGAGACGGCCTTCCTCTACGCCATCTCCTCGGCCGGACTGACGCACGCGCTGGCCAAGGCGTGCAGCGCGGGGCGCATGGAGCGCTGTACGTGCGACGAGGCGCCCGACCTGGAGAACCGCGAGGCCTGGCAGTGGGGCGGCTGTGGCGACAACCTCAAGTACAGCAGCAAGTTCGTCAAGGAGTTCCTGGGCCGGCGGTCCAGCAAGGACCTGCGAGCACGTGTGGACTTCCATAACAACCTCGTGGGCGTGAAGGCAAGCTGCGGGGAGCCAGCCAGGTGGTCCCCAGGGGCTGGGTAGAGGTGGCCCCTGCACGGTGCCAACGGGGTCTGGAGACCCCTGCCCCGGAGGTGGGGCGTCCATGGAGTGGTTGTCATGCAAGCTTAGCCACCTTGCTGCTTCTGGTGGCTGGGGGCTGGCCCTACCGCCGGCTGACCCTGGCCCGTGGGGCCCCTGGGAGGTCCCACGTTGGGTGAGTGCCCAGGAGGGGGGCGGGCCTTCCAGCAACAGCAGCCAGCAGGGACTGGTAGGGGTGGGGTCACAGAGTGCACTGGCCCAGTCCCAGAGGTCCAGGATCCCTCCCCTGCCCTGTCTAGCCCCACTCTTCAGTGCACAGGTGCCCAGCTGCGAAGCAGGACTTGAGGGAGAGTGGGGCTGTGCTCCTGTATCCGTGCTGCTGGAGGGAGGTCCGGACCCGCACCCCAGATGTGACCCCAGCCTCGGCCAGCACCCGTGTGAGGGGCTCGGGGACTTTCTTCCTCCTGCCCTCCCCTGGGATGTGGACCCTGGCTGGGAAGGGGCCGAGCCATGAGAGATAGCCCCTCATGACGGAGCAGCTGGTTCTGAGTCACCCACTTGTTAGGCAGCCAGCGCTGTCCTTTGCAGCCAGACTCTGAGGCAGAGGCTCGCAGGTGAGGTGCAGCCCACCAGGGCAGGGCCCGTCCCCAAGGTGAGCCCCTTTCTTCTTTCTGCTCTGCTCCTCCCTCCTTGCCACGCTGTGGTCTTTGCAAACATTTAATGAAAAGTGTGAGTGTGGAGCAGGCCGAGGTCAGCCCAGTGTCCCTACATTTGTCCTGGTTTCTCAGCAGATTGTTAAATGGGACTCTGGCTGCCTGCTGGGGGTCCCCTTTGAGCTGACCCCAGGCTTAGTGTGGGAGCTCTGCTGGCTGGCTGGGGGCCCACTGGGAAGGGCCTCCACCCAGCTTCTCCCGCACATGAGGTCAGGCTGCGCCCCGTAGGGCAGCTGGCCTGTCCTTGCAGGTAGGCTGGGAGGGAAGGCTCACCCTGCGTGGGTGAGGGCTACAGCCCATCCCCTCTGTAGTGCGGAGCTCTCACCCAGGTGTGGGGGGAGTCTCTGACCTGAGTGTCCACCCCTGCCCCTGCCAGCTGGCTGAACCAGGCACCTCCAGGCGTGTGCAAACTCACTGTCCCTGATATTCAGATGGGGGTGTGGCTGGCTGACATGCAGACCACCAGCCAGCGGCCAGTGGCCCCAGTCTGCCCCACTGGCAGACAGCCCCAAGAGGGTCCAGCCAGAGTGTTGTCCTGGCCAGTTCAGCCAGCAGTGTGTGGAGACCAGATGGCAGATCCTTGGGTGGGGCACAGGGCTGAGCCCTTGCCAAAGGCGGCCTTGGGGGTCAGAGGTGCTGGCTGTGGGGTCTCTGTCTTGGGCAGTCCTCGCATGTGAGCAGGTCCTCAGAGTGTGCTGGGTGCTGGTGCCCACCGCCAGCCAGGCATGGGTCTGGGTGGGTGGCTGTGGGGTCCAGCCCACCAGAGGGTCCCTCATGCCCTCCCTCCCTCCCTCCCACCAGGTGATCAAGGCCGGGGTGGAGACCACATGCAAGTGCCACGGTGTGTCTGGCTCATGCACGGTGCGGACCTGCTGGCGGCAGCTGGCGCCCTTCCACGAGGTGGGCAAGCACCTGAAGCACAAGTATGAGACTGCACTCAAGGTGGGCAGCACCACCAACGAAGCCACTGGCGAGGCGGGCGCCATCTCCCCGCCACGGGGCCGGGCCTCGGGGATGGGCGGCAGTGACCCCCTGCCCCGCACACCAGAGCTCGTACACCTGGACGACTCGCCCAGCTTCTGCCTGGCTGGCCGCTTCTCCCCAGGCACCGCTGGCCGCAGGTGCCACCGGGAGAAGAACTGTGAGAGCATCTGCTGTGGCCGCGGCCACAACACACAGAGCCGGGTGGTGACAAGACCCTGCCAGTGCCAGGTGCGCTGGTGCTGCTATGTGGAGTGTCGACAGTGCACGCAGCGCGAGGAGGTCTACACCTGCAAGGGCTGAGAGCGCTTCATCTGCTGGCTGCACAGCTGGTGCTGAGGGCCAGGGTCCTCAGGGCTGTCTGGGCTCACCATGGCCTCCTCTCAAGGGCCCAGAGGTGGGAGCCAGCTCCTGCCTGTCTGTCCGGCCTCTTGCTTGTGCCTTGGGCCTCGGCTTCCTCCCCTTGACCCGAGAGCATTGCGGCCAATGCTTTCTGAGCTGTCTCCCGTTCCTGCCGTGCCAGTCCAGGTGTGACCTTCCCCCTCCTGCACCTTGGGCTCCCTCTGAGGCCAGGAGAGCAGGTGCACCTTGGTGACCACAGGGCTGCTGTGGAGATGGGCGTGGCCTGGGCCGTCCCTGCACCAGCACTGCCTTTAGAGAGCAAACCACTAGGAGAGCAGGCAGCCTGCCCTGTCCCCAGCGCCTGGCCGCCAATGCCCGGCCCTGGGGTTGCCGCTGTCCCTCTCTGACGTTGAGCACTTCTCTTTGGAGTGAATATCAGTGACTTTTAAGTTATTACTATTATTTAACTATTATAATAATTATTATTTTCTCCACCTGACCCCGGCCTGCGAGGACCCCTCCTTTTCTCCCTAACATTCGCTCCTGACCTTGCTCCCTCCCACCTGCTCTGTCTTTGAAACCACTAAGCCAAGGTGGACGCTGGCATTGCTGTCAGAGGCAGGCAGCACGCGGGGCTGCCACAGCCCTCTGTGTGCACCAGTGTGCTCCAGCCAGGGCCCCCAGTGGTCCCTGTTTAGCCCCATGGGCGGACGGCCCAGAGTGTGCTCCAGCCAGCAGCCCCCACACCCACCATGGATGCAGACTCTGGGGCAGGGTGGCAGGGCGAGCCTGTTCCTGGGGGCAGCCCTGGCTAGCAGAAAGCCGCTGCTTTTGGCCTACACGGACACGGCTTGGTTTGTGTGGTGTGTGTGTGTGTGTGTGTGTGTGCACGCTGTGCTCGGCAGTTGTTGGAGCGCTGAGTGGGCTCTGCTTCTCACGTCAGCATGGACAGCAGCCTTCGACCTCTGTGGGCATGGGTTAGGGTCTGGGCGGGCAGCAGGTGTGGGCACAGGACTACTGAGTGAGTGGATTCCTCCAGGAACTGTGTTTTTAAAAGAAAACCTATTTATGTTGATGTCAGTTTCTGTTCCGTATCATAAATGGTAAGGTTTATTCTCCTGTGGCTGTGATAACATCCCCACCAAGGGCTGCCCGGTGCGTGGGGCTGAAGCTGAAGCCTTCTAAGCCCACACCCAAGGCCTCTTTTCCAAGAAGTGACTGTGGTGGCCTCATGTGATAGCCTTGTCCCTGCCCTGGCTGTGGGTGGGGCCTGTTCTCTCCTTGAATGCCATGTTGGGCTGTGTCCTCGGTATTCAGAGTGCTCATTTCACAAGGCAGACTGGCAGCGGCTGGTGGGTCCTGGATGCGAGGCTTGCTACCTGAGGGCGTGGGGGCTGCTGCTTTGCCTCTTCTGGGAAAAATGGTCTGGGGGCAGGGGTCCCTCTTGCCAGCATTCCTGCTGCAGGGCTGTGCTGGCCGCCCCCCCTGGGGGAACCTGTGCCTGGTCTGGTGGGTGTGGCACAGGGAGGGCCCACCCCATGCTGAGTCTCTAGGAGCCAGTTGATTGATTTCTCTACCTCATCTGCGCAGGGAGTCGGTGTGTACCTGATTGACTGTGGAGAATGTATTTATTTAACAGCTTTGTATAACAGAACCAGAAACAAATGGAAACACTAAATAAATGTATTTTAAGTTATAGCCAATCTCAGTCTCTTACCTTCGCATAGCCAGTGGCATGGGAGGGGTCTGTGCTAACCCACAGTGAGCTCTGACCCAGACTAGGGGTGGCCCCAGCCCCCTCCCGTGTCCAAGCCTCACTGTCCTGTCCCTGGGGAAAGGGCCCTGTGCTCAGAGCCCTGCTCCTGTGCCCTGGCTCCTGGGTTCTCCCACACTGGTCCTCAGTCTTCCTGCCCTGATGGGGTCCTGAGGCACAACAGACCCCACCCCAGGCTCTCTCTGGTTGGCTCTTAGCCTCTCAGGCCCCAGCCCCTGCAGGCCCAGTCTTCTGAGCTGCCTCGTGGTCTGCTCTCTGCTGTAATGAACTCGCTGGGACTCTCACTGTCTCCTGCATGACCCGGATACCACACCCCAGCCCTGAGGGGTGAGTGGAGCCCAGGGGTAGCCCCAGGCTCTCCAGCCAGGCACAGGGCTTCGAAGCTAAGGGATGCTGGGTGGGTGGCTTCAAGCTACCCAAGCCAGGGAGTAGGTGGCCTTGGTGGGGCCTCGTCTCCTGGGTGACTGAAGCTACAGGAGCCCGGTCTGGGACAAACCATGCAGGTCCCTGTGCGCTGCCAACCTGCTGCCAGGGCACGCAGACCCTGAGAGCAGAGCCTTCTTGGTGTGCCTGGGTCTCCTCCATTGGACCTGCATCCCAGCTTTGCAGGCCAGGGTCCCCTGTGTGGTGGACAGTCTATGTATGGCCAGTCTTGCAGGGTGTCTGTGTCCACACGTGTGTGTCATGTGTGTCTACATGCATGCATGTGTGGCCACGTGAAGGCCTATGTACATCTGCCCACATGGGTCTGTTGCGTGTGTCCACATGCATGCATATGTATGTGCAGGCCTGTGTGCCCACTTGGGTCTGTTGGGTGCATGTGTGTGTGTATGTCCACATGCATGCCTGTGTGTCTTCCCACCTGGGTCTGTTGGGTGCATATGTGTGTGTGTATGTCTATATGCATGCTTGTGTGTGTCTGTCCACTTGGGTCTGTTGGGTGCATGAGTGTATGTGTCCACATGCATGTATGTGTGTGTGTGTGCAGGCCTGCGTGCACACCTGGGACTGTTGGGTACATGTGTGTCTGCCCACCCAGGTCTGTGTTGGGTGCATGGGGGGCTATGCCAAGCTGCAGCTCACCCCTGTCCAGGCCAGCCGCAGGGCCTTATGTGGTGAGTGAGGTCTGAGCCAATGGACCTGAGCCTGAGGCAGGGGAAAGGAGGCCTGCCCAGCTTTCCAAGCCCAGGCACCGAGTGGGTCGACACATTTTGGAGACCTGCCAGGGGCAGCGAGAGACCCTGGGGAAACTCTGGAGGCCAGGGTGTCTGTCCTGGCGACACCTGCCAGTCGAGAGCTGGCCCTGAGGGCTCAGAGGTGGGCCCGGCATACCACACAGGTGGCAGCTCCACTGGCCCTCCCCTCCCTGCTGTGATGGCGAGGGGATTAGGTCAGGAGGCAGCTTAGGTAATGTCTCCACAGGGGCCTCGCTATGTAGCCTTCCAGGCTGACTGAAGGGACAGAGCAGTGTGGGGGTGTGGGGGGAGGTGCAAAGTGTGATGTTCCCAGCCCCTGTGTCATGGGGTTCTGGGACCACCAGGAACCAGGAGGGTGTCCTGGCTGCCTTCCAGAGCCCCATCCCAGGAGGCACCCAGCATCTGCCCAGGGCCAAGAGGGGAAAGGCCAGAGGTCAGGGTCCCTCCCTCCCTGCCCCCACCAAGCTGCTGCAGAGACTGATGTGCACACCCCCGTGCATGCATATTTCTGTGGCCTTGCACCTGAGGGGGGCCTGTGCAGGCACGGGGCAGGGGGTCGCCACTGTTGTCCTCGCTGGGGCACTGCCCTGCTGCACCCTGTGACCAACTTCTCCCACCCCTGGCGTCTGTGTTCTCAGCACATCCAGTGCAGCTGGGCCTCCCTGCCTCCTGCCACTGCACCTGCCCCACCCCCTCCCCAGCCAGGCCCCTGCCCACCTCTGTGCAGGCTCAGCTCCCTAGGGGTGGCCCGTGGAGGCTGCATGGTCCTGCCTCCCCACCTGCTAGCGCCAGTGCCTTGCTTTCCTCATCAGCTTTGGAGGTGGGGCTGATGGCCCCGGTCCCCCTCCTGGTGGCCCCAGATTCTGGTCTGGAGACTCCTGTCCTGGCCAAGCCAGGCATAGGGCAGTGGGGGCAGCTCTACTTGAACCCCCACCCACCCCAACCATGGGCACAGCCCCCCCCCCCCGGAATAGAGGAGGGACTAGCGGGTTGCCAGGGAAACAAGGCCAAACAAACACTGCCCCCTTGCAGGGCGGGGTGGGGGGAGTACTGTGGCAATGACCTCATCCGCCCACCCAACCTGCTCCCAGGCCAGGCTGGAGGTGGGGGGTCCTGGCTGGCAGGGGGAGTCATGCACGTGTTTGTGTTGGGCCCACGTCCATGGAAACGGTGGGGGTTGGGGGTGTAGCTGGCTCCTGCTGTGGTTATGAGCGGCTGTGCGGCTGCCAGAGCAGACTGGGGGTGGGGGACAGAGCCGGGACGGGGGACAGGGGAGGGAGCACTCAGTGGATCTTACCCGAGGGTGAGTGTCACTCGCCAAGCAGGCCCCACTCCCACTTTCTAGCAGCAGGCCGGCCGTGAGGGCTCAACTGCATCTCCCAGGGACACCCCACGAAATTCCCTCCACCTTGGGATGGTCCTCCCTGGATCCAGGGTTTGATCCAGGGTGTGCCCAGGGGCAGCCTGGTCTCCAGATGTGGCACCCGCCTAGGTGACAGCTCAAGGTTCTGATTGCGGTTTCGTCTGCCCTGACATTGTTGTTCAATAGAGAAAACTCCACGTTTCTTGCAGTATTGTCAAAAACCACGTGAACTCGTAAAATATGATGTGTTGTGCCTGCTGAGGATCCCTGCTGAGACATGCCTGGGAGTGCGTCAGGTTTCAGAGCTTTGAGACTCTGGACTATTTGCAAAGACTTTGCCAGCTGAGCATCTTTGGTGGGTGATGTCGGCCTTACAAGGTTCAGACTGTGCAGCATTTTGGGTTTTGGACTTGAGGTTTGGGCACTGCATCTGCTTGTCCATGCTGCCCCTTTGATCTTCCTCCCTCCACCCTTGCTTCCCAGGTGTCAGGTTTTAGGCAGCAGCAAGGTGTGTTTTGACTTACGTGTTCACAGGACACCCTGGGCGACGTTGGAAGAACAGACTTGGCTCAGAGCACAGTGTTAGGTAAAGTGTCCTTAGCATCATTAGAAGATCTGCGAAAGAATGCCATCTATGAGGAAGGAATTAAGAAGGCAAACAATGTCCAATTCAGGATGAAAAAAAATGGTTATTGAGTGAAAATTGGAATAAGTAGCCCAAGAAATCTTGGAGAAAAAGAGATCAGCTTCTCCCTGGCCACTTTCCAGCCACTGTGACGGCCGACTGGACGTCATGGTCAGCTCCTCTGGAGAGAGGGCTCCTGGGACAGCAGGCAAAGCTCTATGCAGGCGGAGGCTGGGCTGGAGCCGGGACACAGACAGGAGCTGCACGGGCCAGGGCAGCAGAAGCAAAAGGCTGAGCTTGCACAGCGACACCCATTCTTGTGCCTGTGTGACTCAGGACAGAGGGACATCCGTGTTTGAGCTGGGGCTGCTGCAGGCTTGTGCCCAGGTGCTGTTGCTGCTGCCGGACCGCTGTGCAGCCAGAGCTTCTAAGCTCCTCGGAGAGATGGAGTCATCTCCCGCCCGGCCATGCACATGCAGCCTGACTCACTGCAACAAAAACTGGAATAAAGACTTGGGAAAGTGTGGACATATTTTTGTTTAGACACAGAAATTGTGCATGTCGGTGGGGCACCCTGTGAAGTTCCTGTGCGGATGCCTGAGGCTGAGCACCGGCAGTTTCTTCCTGGTGAAAGCATCCCAGGCCCTTTTTTCCAGCTCCTTGGAAACTCGCAATGCATGGTCATGCTCTGCACCGGCCCCTTGAGTGGGCAGCGGGGCCCTGGAGCTTCCCCTATCCGGTTGTGAGGCCATGTCCCTTGCTCCCCACCCCGTCCTAGCCTCGATCACCACCTCCCCACTCTCAGCCCTTGTCCAGCTGTGTCTGGCCCACAAGGTCCCGTCCTTCTCATGGCTGGGTGGTACTCCCAGTGCCCTCATCGCTGGTGGACACCTAGGTCAGCTCCACCTTGCTGCTGTGGACAGTGCTATAGGGTCCAGTGCAGGTGACTGACATCAGGATTTCATTTTCCTCAGATGTGTGAGGCAGGGGAATCCCACAAAAGGTCACAGCCTTGAGCATCACAGCATGAGGCCGAGAGCTCCAGCCTACAGTGTGAGGAAGGGCACGTGGGTGACAGCCAGGCCTGCCCAGCCCCATGGGGGTGGAGGTAGGGGATACCGGGCTGCAGAAAGAGACAACAGACAGCAGTGAGGCCTGGATGCCTGGATTCTTGTGGAAAACAAAGCTGAGATAAAAATAAAGACCTCGGAATAGAGGCTGAGGAGGCAGGGCAAGCCTGTGTGAATTCAAACTGGGGGACTGTGGCCTTGGGACACAGAACCTGCACCACAGCTGTGCTGTGACACCCTGGAGTGGACAGCAGGGTGAGCAGAGCCTTTGCCCCTGGAGTGGGCACTGAGTGGGCATTGCCCTCACCCCTGGAGTGGACAGGAGAGTGGGCAGAGCCTTTGTCCCTGGAGTGGGCACTGAGTGGGCATTGCCCTCGCTCCTGGAGTGAACAGTGGGTGGGCAGCACTCTCACCCCTGGAGTGGACAGCAGGGTGGGCAGCACTCTCGCCCTTGGAGCAGAGGGTAGGAGGCACCCTCGCCCCTAGAGTGGACAGCGGGGTAGGCAAAGCCTTTGTCCCTGGAGTGGGCAGTAGGTGGTCAATGCCCTTGCCTCTGGAGTGGACAGCAGGTGGGTATTAAGAAAGCAGTGTTGTCACCGGTGCAATGGCTCAATAGGCTAATCCTCCACCTGCGGTGCCGGCACACTGGGTTCTAGTCCCGGTCGGGGCGCTGAACTCTGTCCCAGTTGCTCCTCTTCCTGTTCAGCTCTCTGCTGTGGCCGGGGAGTGCAGTGGAGGATGGCCCAAGTCCCTGGGTCCTGCACCCGCATGGGAGACCAGGAGAAGCACCTGGCTCCTCGCTTTGGATCAGCGTGGTGCGCCGGCCGCAGTGGCCATTGGAGGGTGAACCAACGGTAAAGGAAGACCTTTCTCTCTGTCTCTCTCTCACTGTCTACTCTGCCTGTCAAAAAAAAAAAAAAAAAAAAAAAAAAAAAAAAAAAAAGCAGTGTTGAGACATTAATATCGTGTGCTATAGATTTTTACAAACAGTTTGTAATGTATTTATTTTGTAATGTATTTATTTGAGAGACAGTGAGAGACACATGGTCCCATCTGCTGGTTCCCTCCTCAAATGCCCGCGACAGCCAGGAGAAGCCAGGAGCTCCACCTGGCTTTCCCATGTGGGTGGCCGGGGCCCAAGCACTTGAGCTGTCAACTGCCTCAAGGAAGGAAGCTGATCTGGGGGCAGAGGCAGGACTCGCACCCGGTGCTCGGACTCGGGTGTGGACGTCTTTACCTCCAGGCTGATGCCCAGCTCTGAGACGTCTCAGGTCAGCAAATCCCAACCTCCCTCTTATCACCTTCTTGTTTTTGCCCCTCTCCTGCCTTTTTTTTTTTTTTTCTGTGAAAGTCGTTGCAGCAGCCAGAGAGGTACTGATAGGCCAGGTGACCAGTGGACTCAGTGAGTTTGACACAGAAGGGCTGAGTGTGCTGTATGTGGCCTCAGGAGGCCAGCAGCCGGTCTGTGGCCAGAGAAACTTTGAGGATGTGTGGGGGGTTGGAAGACCAGGCCCTTGGGAGAGGAACTGACTGGGAAGTGGGCAGGGAATGGATAGCAGCGTTTTCTTAAAAAAAAAAAAAGTTTTTCTCTTCACTCATTCCACAAATACTCCAGGCACAGCTGGAACAAGGGCGTCACTGTTAGAAGTAAAACCGCACTCTGAACACACTTTGTCTACACGATGGTCCTGGCACCTACCGGCTTTGATTAAGTCAGCCATGGTGTGACCCCAGAGGATCCCTTGCAGTGACAGTGACAGTGGGGATGCCAAGGTCACCTGCCATCTGCCATGTGAGTGAGGTGATACCCAGCCATGTGGACAGCAACCAGGTCCACCAAGGCTACTGTGGAGTGTGGCAGTGGCCAAGGGTCCTGCTGTGCACGTCCACACAGGCTGTGAATGACCCTTGGCCAGACTCTGCCACGGCACCCTGCCTTCATCGCCTGGAGGACCCAGCAATGGGGGTCCTGCAGCAGAGGTGAGGAGAAGGTGCCTGCAGGGGCGGCGTCCTAACAAGGAGAATGAGGGAAGGGCTTTCCACCTTTGAGCACAGCTGTCTGGTGCGGATGGATGGGACAGGCTGTGACCAGGAGGGGCTATTGAGGCAAGGGTCCAGAAGCCAGCGGATCTCCTGCAGGTGTTGTAACGGTGCACATGGACGGGCAGGGGTGAGTCAGTGGAAGGTGAGGAAGGGCTGCTGTTAGCGAGAGAACCCAGGAGACCCCAGTAGGGGCAGCTTCAGACCCTGCCAAATGCAGGTGTGGCCACGGAGCTGCCGGCCAGCCATGGCAGAAGACAGCCAGGAGGCAGGGCACATGGACTGTTGGGGCAGCAAGTGTTTGAGGTGTGAGTACCACCCTGATGCAGCCGCCGAGGGCAGGGCCTGGGAAACCCCTCTCCTCACCAAGGGCAGAGGTCCTTTTGTGGATGCAGGAACACCCCCCAGAAGCAGTGAGCAGTGCCTCCATGTCGCATGCACTGCTGGCTGGGCCACTGGGGGTGCACCAGCCACACGTCAGATACCGTCTGTGCAGAACTTAAAGTGAGACCCAGGGCCAGCACTGTGGTCCATGTCCCAGCTGCTTCACTTCCCATGCAGCTCCAGGTGCTAGTGCACCTGGGAAAGCAGCAGAGGATGGCCCAAGTGCTTGGGCCCCTGCACACACGTGGGAGACCTGGATGAAGCTCCTGGCTCCTGCTTCAGCTTGGCCCAGCCCTGGCTGTTGCAGCCACTTGGGGAGTGAACTAGTGGATACAAGACCTCTCTGACTTTCAAAAAGAGAAGCGTGGTAAACACCTACCTCGGCTGGCATGCCTGTGGCGTCCTGCAGCTCTGCCCTGACAGCCTCCAGGTCACAGTAGGGTGCACCCCTCCCAGGTGAGGGCTGGGAGACCCCAGTTTCTCTGGGCCCAGCTGGGATAGGCCAGGTGTGGGGCGTGGAAGCTGGTGTGGCACAGGGTGAGCTGGACAGCTTGGAGGAGAGAGATGGGGAAGAGGAGTGAAAATGATGCCAGATTTTGGGGGATTCTTTTCAGGACCCCCAGAGCTGAATGCAGTGACCATGACGTGAGGACATCGGGGGCCTGGCATCCTGATACCTGCAGCAGGGCCTGGAATCTTCCATTGCAAGACCTGGCAAGTCCCATCCTCCTGCTGGCCAGCCCTCCAGGAGCTGAGCCTCAGGAACCCCTGTGGCAAGTGGTGAAGCCCCTGCCCCACCAGCTCAGGGTCTGCTCTGTCCATCACTGCCACTGTCCACCTTGGCCTTTCCCGGATGTGGGCTCCTTGTCCCTGCCCACCCTGCCGGCTTAAGGACGCCCTCCCCGGGAAAGGGACAAGGCCCTGGATGGGCAACCTGGTGCCTGGACGCGGTTAGCAGGCTCAGTCTGTGCACAGCAAGGTCCCCTGACTCAGATTTGGGCTGGGGTCCACCGAGGGAGTCTGGGGTCAGACCTCAGGGAGGGGAAGGGCCAGGGCTCTGAGAAAGGCCGCCCAGCAAGTGGTCACTGCACCCGGAGCGTTCTCCACGCCCAACAGCCCACGGAGTCGAGGCCCAGGCGGCACCGGGACTGAGAGGGCCCCGCGCCCGGGTACTGCGCGCGCCCCAGAGGCGGGCTGTGACGTCGGTGCAGCGGTGGGGCCGGGCGCTCTGCGGCGACCCCTTGTGGCCGCGCCGCCGCCGCACACGTGGCGCTCAGGGCGTGCCCTCTCCTTCTGCAGAGGGGTTTGGGGAGGGGAGGCCGCAGCCGCTTGGTTCTTCAGAGGGGAGGGACAGGAGGAGGGGGAGGGGACTCTGATCTGGGGAAATGAGCTGAGCTCCCAGAAGGGATCCTCGGCCGGCCAGAGCAGAGCCTGGAGGCGCTCAGGTGTGCCCAGAGCCGAGGAGGACCCTGCCCACAAGATCCAGAGACCCCAGGGTCCGGGTCCTTGGTCATGAGCACAGAGTTCTGGGGTAGGCTGGCTGCCCCCTGCAACAGGTGAGGGGCACAGGCATTTGCAGTCCCTGCCAGGGGCTGGGTCAAATGGGGTTGTCAGCCCTGGCCCCACCATTCCCAGCCTGGCTGTGTCCAGTAAGGGCCACTCTGGGCACTGTCCCCAAGGCCTTCAGGCCATGTGGGACTGACCCTGTGACTAGGGCGAGTCTGTGTCCTCCAGGTTGCTGCCTGCAAAGCCCTCACACACGAGTCCCGATGATACCTGCAGGGCCCCACACTCATTGTCCAGGGCCTCCGGCCACACCCCTGGCCAATCCCAGCTGACCTTGGCTACACAAGTGTGATATGCAGCTGCCTCAAGCCTTGGGGTGGCTGACCTGTCACAGAGCTAGCAGACACGTCACAGAGTGGGCTGAGCTGTCACAGAGCCGGGTGAGCTGTCACAGAGCAGGCTGAGCTGTCACAGAGCTGGGTGAGCTGTCACAGAGCAGGCTGAGCTGTCACAGAGCTGGGTGAGCTGTCACAGAGCCGGGAGACCTGTCACAGAGCAGGCTGAGCTGTCACAGAGCCGGGTGAGCTGTCGCAGAGCTGGGTGAGCTGTCACAGAGCTGGGTGAGCTGTCACAGAGCAGGCTGAGCTGTCACAGAACCGGGTGAGCTGTCACAGAGCAGGCTGAGCTGTCACAGAGCAGGCTGAGCTGTCACAGAGCCGGGTGAGCTGTCACAGAGCAGGCTGAGCTGTCACAGAGCCGGGTGAGCTGTCACAGAGCAGGCTGAGCTGTCACAGAGCTGGGTGAGCTGTCACAGAGCTGGGTGAGCTGTCACAGGGCTGGGTGAGCTGTCATAGAGCAGGCTGAGCTGTCACAGAGCTGGGTGAGCTGTCACAGAGCAGGCTGAGCTGTCACAGAGCAGGCTGAGCTGTCACAGGGCTGGGTGAGATGTCACAGGGCTGGGTGAGCTGTCACAGGGCTGGGTGAGCTGTCACAGAGCAGGCTGAGCTGTCGCAGAGCTGGGTGAGCTGTCACAGAGCCAGGTGAGCTGTCACAGGGCTGGGTGAGCTGTCACAGAGCCAGGTGAGCTGTCACAGGGCTGGGTGAGCTGTCACAGAGCTGGCTGAGCTGTTATAGAGCAGGCTGAGCTGTCACAGAGACGGGTGAGCTGTCGCAGAGACGGGTGAGCTGTCACAGAGCTGGGTGAGCTGTCATAGAGCAGGCTGAGCTGTCACAGGGCTGGGTGAGCTGTCACAGAGCTGGGTGAGCTGTCACAGGGCTGGGTGATCTGTCACAGAGCAGGCTGAGCTGTCACAGAGCAGGCTGAGCTGTCACAGAGACGGGTGAGCTGTCGCAGAGCTGGGTGAGCTGTCACAGAGCAGGCTGAGCTGTCACAGAGACGGGTGAGCTGTCGCAGAGCTGGGTGAGCTGTCACAGAGCTGGGTGAGCTGTCATAGAGCTGGCTGAGCTGTTATAGAGCAGGCTGAGCTGTCACAGGGCTGGGTGAGCTGTCACAGAGCAGGCTGAGCTGTCACAGGGCTGGGTGAGATGTCACAGGGCTGGGTGAGCTGTCACAGAGCTGGGTGAGCTGTCACAGAGCCGGGTGAGCTGTCACAGAGCTGGGTGAGCTGTCGCAGAGACGGGTGAGCTGTTGCAGAGCTGTGTGTCCTGTCATGTCCCTACCTGCACCCTAGAGATGGAAGGACAGGGTGAGGGGGTTCAGAGGATCTGCCCCAGACAGGAAGTGTCAGGTGCCCGATTCTTAGGCGGGGACAGCAGGGTCTGACTTGCAAGCCCAGAGGTCAGGGCATCCAGGGCCCATTCTGCTCAGGCAGAAGGCTCTGGAACAGCTGGAGCTTGCCCTTGAACCATGCAAGGCACACTGCCATGGGCACCAGCACTGCCGAGGCCGCCATTGCCAGCTGCACCTGGTGGTGCCCTGCCCCTCCCCAGGCCCACAGACAGGAGCCACCCCACAGACACGGAGGCCAGGGCCTGTGCGGGACCTGGGTTGTGTCCCTCCAGACCCCAGGGCCATCAGCTTGTGGCTCACTCCCCTACCTAGCACCCATGAAGGGGGCTGCCCTCCTGTGGTGCCCACTGAGCTGTGCCCCCTGGGGAGCAGCCCCCTCCCTGTGCCACCTGCCCTGGTCCTGGCTAATCCACTGACAGCACAGGGGCCCTGGGCGCAGAGGAGCCGACAGTGTGTGTACAGATGGGGTGGGGATCAGGGAAGGTGGGTGGGGCCCCCTAGATTCCCTGAGCTCAGATCTCAGCCCTCTCCCCACTGTCCCAAGGCGTGGGAGGTAGAGGGAGGGTGGGGTCTCTGCACCAGGGCTTGGATATTACTCAGGCTTCCGCAGAGGCAGCATGAGATTCTGTGTCTGTGGGCACTGGGTTCATGGCTTCCGGAGGTGAGAGGTGACTGCCTTACATGAGGTTGTTGGGATGGAAGCCTGGTGGCCTTGCCAGGACAGCCACACAGACGACACTGGCCAGGGCATTCCTCTGCTTCCCAGCAAACACGTGACCCTTCCTGTACTCCTCTGCCATCCCCCAGGCTCAGCAGGCGCCGGAGCAGGGGGCTCCGATCTTAAAGAGCAAACCTCCAAGACCCTGCGACTAGCAAGTCTTGCTCCTGTGCAAGCAGCTTGTCCTGGGTGTTCCCTGCAGGCAGGAGAAGCCATCGAGCGAGGCCTACAGTCCGCCCTGGGCCCCGGCTGGCTGCATGCTGTCTCTGCCTGGCCTCTCTGTAGTCCTGGGGGGTGGGGGAGCTGCGGTGGCTTCTCAGGCTGGGTGAGCCAGGCTGCGACACTGCCCCACCCCTGTCACCCCATCCCAGGCCTGTGCCTGCCCAGGCAGCCTCTGCCCTTCTCCCTTCCTGAGCCAGCATGAAGGCCCCCACCCCACCACCACAGGGCACACGCGCTCTGTCCCGGCCTCTTCCTGCCTCTAGCCCAGCCCACTCCCCCGGTTGTTACCCCCTGCTCCTAGAGCCTACCCCAGCCGCTGCCCCAGAGAGAGCACGACAGTCAGAGTCAGGAGCTGTGCCCCCATGGGCTGGCCCCCTAGGCCTCTCTCTTGAGTTTCTGTCCCCAGGTTGGTCCCCACCATCTCACCCCACCCGGCCTCCTTCCTTTTTCCTGACATCTTCCTGGGACCAACCTGCCCACTCGTCTGCCCCCGTATGGCAGCCCCGTGGCAGCGTCCTTATGGCCAGTGTCCTATGGCCACACCCACCAAGACCCCAGGACCCTGTGGCCTTCTCATTTGCAGGTCCAAATCCTATCAGCAGGGCCCAAACAAACCTTCTCCCCCTGCAGGCACCTCTGGGGCCGCTGTGGGCAGGAACTTTTGCACTGGTGCCTGAGAAGTCTCGAAGACAAGGCCACGGGTGAGGGTGTGCTGACGGAAGAGAGCCTAGTGTCTTTCCAGCTGGAGTTGGGGCGTGGAGGGGAGAGGAAGTGGTCAGGCCCTGGGTGCAGCACAGGGGCAGCCAGCAGAGGGCAGGAGGGAGGCCCAGCAGCCTTGGTTCAGAGGACAGGGTGGGGCATTTGATGTAAATACTGAGTGCTGCCAGATTCCGGGGATGAAATCTGGCTCTGCTGGTGCAGGGACCTGGGTGCTGGCCAAGAGGGATGGGAAGGCTGGACCAGGGCCTCCTTCAATTGGGACTCTGCCAGCAGAGGCCTTGCAGTGACCGAGAGTCCCACAAGTAGCCCCCGGGGGAAACCATTGGGGCAAAGGCCCTTGGCGGCCACCCCAGCCACACCCTGGGGCCAGAAGGAGGGAAGACCAGGGTCTGCTGGCCCCACACAGCCGCACAGGTTCCTGCAGCCTGATTATGATAGACAGGAGGAGCAGGCACAGGGCCAGCACTCCGTGGCTGTGCCGGGAGCAGAGGGGAGTCCCCGCCTGACGCTCCTTCCACTACGTCCACCTCTGGAGAGGGTTGTTGTTGGCCAGGAAATGCAGGGGACACATGTCGCTGAGGGGGCACCATGGAGGCAAGGGGACGGGGCCCTGTGGGACAGCGGATATCCAGACCCTAACCCTAACCCTAGGTACATGCAGGTGGCAGGCTGCTCGGACCCCCTTCTATAATCAGCAGGAAGAGGAAAGACCTGAGAATTTGGGCTCTTCTCACCTGGGAGTTGTAGTGCAGGTCTTGTTGCCCCTCTGTGGGGATCAGGCAGCTGCTGTCCCAAGAATCAAGGTCATTGAGAGGGCATGGGAAGGGGCAGGATGGAGGTGTGGCCCAGGGGTTGGCCGTGGATGAAGAGAGTGAAAAAACAGAGCATTATGGGAGCTGCTGAACGCTGCCCTGAACCCCACACGTGGTCAGGCAGCCCAGAGGGAGACAAGGGAGGTACACAGGAGAGGGGACAGAGGGACAGACACAGCCCAGTGTCAGCTGCACTTGATGCTTGGCTAGGGGAAACCAAGGAGATGGATGGGGGGCCCTGAAGAGGGGACTTTGAGCCCTGCTGCCCCTGGGGTGGTCCAGGTGAGGGTCTGCCACTCTCACAGGGCACGCACCCAGTCTCTGGGCCAGGAGGGGCCTCATGGTCTCCTACGTTAGCAGTGCAGGGGGCCAGGCCACCTGGGACCCAGTCACTCACATCCAGCATTACACTCTGCCCTCCCCTCCTCTGTTGCTCCCTGGCTCCTTGGATCCCCTCCCTCCCCAGATCCCTCTCCTATCCCAGTGTAGCCCAATACTCTTTGGTTTAAGGAATGAGCTTGGTGTTTGCAGGTGGAGGCACCAGGCTGGGCTGAAGGCATGGGGGGGGGGGTCAGACTAGGCACTGGGATTGGGGAGACCACACCTGGGACACTGGTCATCCAGGCGTTGGAAACGGTGGCCACAGGACTCCACAGCAGGATCAGGCCTGGCCTTCTTCAGAGCATATGGTTTGTGGAGGGGTGGGAAGGGTCCCCTGTGCCCCCTCCTGTGAGGGCTTGGCCCTAGGGCATGCACAGTACGGTCTACCTGGGGCAGGTCTCCCAGACGTCTCCAACACAACTGCATTGGCTGTGAAGCACAGGGCACCTCTCCTGTGCTGGGTCCTTCCCCTGGGAGCTGCCTGAAGAATTTTTAAGTTCTTATGGGTGAGTGAGTGTGGCAGGCCCAAGGTTGTATGTTACTGCATGCTAAGAGTGCAGGTGACCCAGAGAGGATGTGATATTTGTGCCTGTGGATGTGTGTACATGTGTGTGTTCTGTGTGTCCATGCATGTGTGCTGTGTGCATGTGTCCACCTATGGTGCCCTTACATGTGTGTGTTTTGCGCACTTGTGCTCTGTGTACACCCCTTTGGGGCCTTGCAGAACTCCAGTGGAGAAACTGAGGCTTATGGTGTGGGACACCCAGTGGTG